AATGGCTGTGGGTCGCTTTGCCCGGGTGGCAGAGTTGGGGTTGCTACAGGTGGAGTTTTTCCAGGCTGTGTTGAGGAGCTGGCCCAGCCTTCCTGCAGCGTGGGGCTGTGCTGGGTGAGGCTGTGCTTCCTGCAGCTTGTGTGGGACATCCAGGGGGATCCTCCTGCCTTAGCCTGGCAGGGGGCACGTACAGCTCAGTTGCCACAGCCAGGGAGAACTGGCACTGCTCAGCTTGGGCTTGCAGGGCTCTGCTGACCTAGAAATCATCTCACTGAAAGGTCAGAGCCAGGAAGGGAGGGACTGTCCCTTTCACTGCCGTGAGGGGTTTCGCTGGTCCAGCCTCTTGCAGGGTGCAGAGGGCATGTGCCAGCCTGGGGAAGGAATGACTGAGTGGCAGAGCTCGCTCCTCAGGGCTAAATGATGCTAAAGCCAGTGCAGAGGGGGCTGCAGGGGTGTCCTGAGCCCCAGCTGGGCTCGTGTGTGGCAGAAGCATTGCCATGGGCAGCAGCACGGGGGCAGAGACAGATCAAACTGTAGCAAGGACTCAGTATTTCCCTGGAGCCTGTCTGCAGCCTTGGAGCAGGGAGCTGTGTTGGGTGTGAGCTGTGTGATGGGCTGGAAGGCCGTGGGAGGTGGGATGTCCCCTCTGGTCACAGGGAGCAGCATCCAAGTCCTCCATGTGCTGGGGGCTGCTGGTGGTGTGGGAGATGCTGCTCCACGAGTGTCAGCTCCAGACAAGTCACCTCCTGGGGCCTGGATACAGGCTTGGATTTGAGTTGAGATGGAAAGCATAAACTACTCTTCTAGACAACTCCTCTTCTTCCACATTAGGGGCCAAGTCTCTTTCCTGCCCCTGTGCTGGGCTCTTGGGAAGGAAGAAAATAAAAACCTCCCCAGACAATCCTTAAGGTTGTGCCAAACCAACCACTGCCTCCAGCATTTGGTGTAAGCTCTGCTCTTGCCTCACTGACTTGTGAAAGACTATTTGTGTCTCAAGAACTGACAGGATGGACCCAGAAGGATGGGGACATCTGAGAATTAATTAGGAGCTGTTGTTTTAATTAGTAGTGTCTTACTATATTCATGCACGAGGGAGTTGTGTGTCTTGTGAGCTCCCAGCCTTCCTGCTCAGCAGACATGAGCCCTTTCTGTCTGATGTTGTATGGGTGTGTTTCAGTGTAAAGGCCATCAGCAGTACAAAAAAGCCTCATCCTGCCCCTTTTTGGGGTTTCAGTTTCCTTGGTGTCCACTTTTCATGGAACTTTTCTAGGAATTACCCACTCTCTACAAACTGCGAGTAACTTGCTCTGTGTGTGGGTCTTGCTCTCTCCCAGCACCATCTGATCCTGCTTTGCTGGCAGTTTGGGTAACCCCAAACCCCTCATCTTCATACAGATCCAGGGCAGGGCCTCTACAGGGCTGAAAGATCTAAAAGATCACCCAAACCTGTGATCTTTGCTGAACCCAGAGGTGTCACTCTGAGGTGGAACTGCGGTGCTGTGTTGAGGTGACTTCCTGCTGCCACTGCCACAGCCCATCCCTCTGTCAAGGACAGGTCCATGCTGCTGTGGGTTTGGGAAGGGCTTGGGGTTCAGGAGGATCCATCACCCCCTTCTCCCAGGGCTGTTTCTGACCCTTGGGATGGAAAATGGCTCGTTCCCAGCTCATGAGATGCTCTCAGTCCCTGCAGCTCTTGGCGCTCAGACGGCAGGTTGAAGGAATCTAATTAAAAAGCGATCACTGTCTGCCGTGGCTCTGATGGAGAGGGATGAGGAAGGGGGGCTCTGGCTCCCCATGGCTGGTTGCCATGAAATGAAGACTTCTCTGATACAGACTTGTTTGACTCCCACAGCACTCTCTCCTCCTCTGCTCCCCTGTTATCTGCACTCAGGTGCACACAAGTTTTCCAAAGGGTGTCTCAGTCCCCAGATCCCCTCTGGTTACAAATGTGTGCCCTGGTCCCTTGTCCTGCCTGAGGTCACTGCGGATGCACAGGGTGGCTCTGCCATCCATCTCATCCCATGGATACAGGGCTGGGCCCCTCCTTCCCTGCACCAGGGATGGCTGGAGCCTCTGGGTCCAGCAGGCAGGGCTGAGGCCATGTGGTGACTCGGGGAGGCTTCAGCTGGCAGAACCCCAGGGCTTTTCCTAAGTGCTGTTACAGAGCTTGGTCACCAGTTCTTCATCTGTCCTTGCAGAGGAAAGGGAATGATGGGACATTCGATTTGTTTGTCCTGTGCAAACTGCTGCCAAATGCAACAGCCACCACCCCCAGCTGTGCCAGGTTGTACCAGGGCAGGGTTAGGTTGGATATTAGGGAAAGGTTCTTCCCCCAGAGCGGGACTGGGCACTGAACAGGCTCCCCAGGGCAGTGGGCACGGCCCCAAGGCTGCCAGAGCTCCAGGAGGGTTTGGACAACGCTCTGAGGGACAGGGTGGGATTGTTGGGGTGTCTGTGCAGGGCCAGGAGCTGGACTGGATGATCCTGGTGGATCATGGTATTCTTCCAGCTCATAGTATTCTGTGATTCTATGAACTGGTTTTGCTGCCTCCCCTGCTCACCCCCAAAACCCCAAACCAACCAAGATATTGGCATCACCTTCCCCTCCACCTCTGCCCATTACTATTGTGGCAGGTGTGTGACACAGATGGGACTTGAAGCCGGAGGAGTTCACTTGGGACTGGAGCTGAGTGCAGGGTGGCCAGTGAGTCTCTGCTTGCTCAGGACATGACTGGATTTTGGAAATAGGGATGTGCACATACAACCTGCCCCTGGCAGGGGAGGGGACGCGTGTCCTGTGCTTTCCTCTTGCCTGAGATGAAACACCAGCTCCCCCAGGAAGGGCATCTCACTGGGTCGTGAGAAAAAGTAATTTGAAGTCTCCTGCTGCTCTCCTTAAATCACCTTGGAAGAAGGCAGTCCTGCCCAGCTCCTGGCATCTCTATTTTTACTTAGTGCAGAGATGGATATGGCTGAGCTGTCTCCTTTTATTTCCAGCATTTGGCGCGTGCTGCAGCGTGTTGCTAAAGATGTGTGTGGCTGGATGCGGAGCTGCCCGCTTCCCTGGATCCCCCAGGGACTGCGGGGGAGAAGGGCTCTTGTCTTCTGGATGGCTTCATCATTCATTTCTTCCCTACTTGCTGCCCTTTGCCTCCCCCCTCCACTTCCCTCACGGTTTTTGGACTTTGTTTTTTTCCTGTATTTATTCAAATCACCCTGGGTAAACAGGGAGCAGGAGCGTGGTGACTGGGGCCACTGGTAGCCACTGGATTCCAGAGGCATTTTTAGTGGCTTCCTAATAACTTGAACTGACCTGTTCTGATGCAGAAACTTCTCTTATTTGTTCTGTTTGCAGCTTTGCACAGAGATTTCCTTGGAAAGGCTCAGATTGTACATTTTCCTTCCTGACAGTCAGGCTGAAAATCTCTGTGCCTCAGGTGGCTGCTGCTGCAGCAGCTCTGGTAGT